TTTTTTTAGCAATTACTGTTGAGAGTTGGATTAAAGATTCTCTTTTATTGAACCATTCTCTATGTTTAGAATAGTGCATTATTCTTTTAATGTGTTGCTGTATTCTGTCAGTCTTTTTGTTAAGCATTGTGCAGTAACATTTAAAATAAATTTGTCTGTAGTTTTAGTGTGTGTGTGTGTGTGTGTGTGTGTGTGTGTGTGTGTGTGTGTGTTTGTTGGATTTTTCCACCAACATCATACTAGCTTCAGATTTGGCAACACATTCATTGAGGTGATAAATGTTCCTTCCCTTTTTAACTACTCTCCATCTTCTTTCTGGCTAGTGACTAGTCTCAAGTTTCTGCAGTCCAGCATGAAATGGTACCACGTGGTAAGTGATATTCTATAAAAACATTAATGTAACTGAAATCTTGGAAAAAAATAACTCCTTCACTGTCTTCATTAAAAGAATATTATAATGAATGTTTAAAGTATAATACATGTGTGGGTATGGAAGGAAAAACAAAGGGCGATTTGGTTGAAAACTGTTTTTACCTTCTTTCCTACAGAGTCATGTTCTTGCTCACCCTGCTGTGCCCCTGAAAATGACCTTCAGTACGAGTCCTAGTTCAAAGGGATGAAAGTTTTTATCCATGCTGCTGTTTTTCCCACCCACCCTCCATTTACTGCCTGGTCTCTGTAACAGCCTCCTCACTCATCGGTCTGTCCACCACTGTGGAAACCCTTCCCATCAAACTGCAGCCCCGCCCACCCAGCCTCTGACTGCAGGACCTCATTTCCGTGTTTGAGAGCCATTCTGCTGTGCATCTTTCCTTTTCCATTTATCTTCTTTTGCACTGTTTTCTAGGCCCTTGGGCAGATTTCTTGTCCTTCATCTCTTGAGGGCAGAGACTGTGATTATTCGTCTTTGTGTTCTCTGCAGTATGTAGCACAGCATTGTCTTCATGGGTATTTATCTTGTAGTTTTTAAAAATTGTACTAAAATCCTGAATCTCTCATAGACTCTTTCACCATTTTAATATCCATGTCCAAATTATTATAACGCAGAAGACATGGGGAAGGGCTACCATAGGAACTTATGTAATCTTCTACCCTTAGAAAGAGGAATGGGCCAGTGAGAATATTAAAGCTTTTATAGACTGTTCCTTCACGATCCCTAGGTCAAAGTCACTGATAAAGTAAAACATTGATAATAGTTGATGGGAAATTGATTTTTTGCCAGTCATGACATGAGGACAGTTGTCAAAAACACCACATTCTAGTAAACACAGCAGTTTTGACCCTTTCCCATTTTTTACAGCCCTTAGAGTCAGAAACATGCAGTTTAGCATTTAACTCAGTCAATCACGCATTCATTCATTTATTCAACACCTATCTATTGAGCATCATCTGTGTGTTGACTATTACGCTCTCCTTTTGAGATACAAATAGAATAAAACTCAAACGCTAGCCTCAAACTGCTTTTAGTCTGATGGGAGAGAAATTTTTTTTAAGTCAGTAATTAGAAATTTCTATAAGTTATGATAAAATTACAGTAGGCAGAAAATGCTAGAAGCATACTTGGCGGAAACTTCAAAGGTGACTTTGAGTCAGAAAAGACTCGAGCTGGACTTTGAAGGATGAGTGGAGTACCTAGATGAAGGTGAAGTACATTCCAGGAATAGGAAATAGCACTTGTAAAGGCACGGGGGGAAAAGCAGCATGCGGGTGTAGAATTATAGACTGCAGGTATGGCTCGCCAGGCAGCAGACTCTAACATGGTGATTTGCAGCCAGGAAGTTTATTGGCTGTGTTCTTGGAATCGATACTGGGGGATGAGGGGTGGAAGCAAAGTGGAGGAAGCAGGATTGGGTGCAACAATGCAGTTGCAAACAGGTTTCAGCTACTCCTATAGGGAGCTCTGGAACTAGGATGGCCTTTCAGAGTTGACCCTCTTTGAGGAGAGGGAAACTGCTCTCTGTTCCCCCACATCAACCAGTCGTCAGACATAGATTGCCCCCAGCAAGGGAACATGATCTCAGGCGAGGAGGCTCTTTGGCTAAGGGATTTCTCAGAGACTACTCATTTGAGAGCTCTCAGCTGCTAACATTCCCAGCAGATGGGGAAAGAGTGTTTCAGTCTTGAAGTGGGGGGTGGTCCAAACAGTGTCCTGCAGCATCTACCTGTGACAACAGGTACATCTAGAATAGAGACTGTTCGAGGAGAAGTGGTAGAAATTGTGACTAGAGAGTAGGTGCAGACCCAGTCATGAAAGTTCCTTTGAGCTTTGCTAAAAAGTTCAAAACTGTGGTGACTTATTGAAGCAAGAGAGTGGTATTGCTCCAACAGAATTATATTAATAGGTGATGAAACACAGAGACTCATTATAAATCTTAGCGGGCCACCTGAGTTGAAGGGTATAACTGGGAGCTGATGGCTACTGGGAACCCCAACACATGGGCCAAGTAGACTTGTGTTTCAAAAGTTTAAAGAAGATTGAGGATCTTCCAGAACATGTAGCTGCCTTGCGAGTGGCACTGTCCTCAGGGATTGAGTTCCTCATAAGCAGGTACATTGGGGCCATCACCCACTGGGTCAGAAGTAAAGACCAACAGGAAGAGGACAATAAGTCATGTGATGAACATACAAAAAAGGGAACATAGTGTTCACAATTCCTCAGCCACAGCCCCTTAAAAAAACAAAAACAGAAAAGATGAGAAAGGGAACAGGGACAGGAAGGTGTGTATGAGGCAACTCCCTTCCCCATTCCGAAACAGTAAAAATATCTAAAACTTATATAGCACTTATAACATGGCAGGCATGCTCCGAGTGCTTTAAATGAATCACTTATTTAGTCCTCACAATAGCCTTATGAGGTAAGTACTACTTTGCAAATGAGTAAACAGAGGCAGGGGGTGACATGCTCATGGTTACATGGCTTCCAAGTGGCAGAGCCAGGATATAAACACATGGAGTCTAGCTGCAGAGCTGCTGGTCTCAGCTCCAAGCTATACTGTGTCTATCCTAAAACCAAAAATCTTACCTGCCCTGGGGATCAGGAAGAACTTTGAACAAATTACGAAGTCAAAGATTTTAAATAAACAGAATTCAGTGTTAATAATAATAATGAAACTGTTTTAATAATCAAAAGAAATGGAAAATTCATGGAATCAGACTTAGAATGGTCAATAAGTGAGATAGCTACCTAGCAGGGAAAGGAGGAATGAGGGAGTTGGCAGAGAAGAAGGGCAGAGCACGGTGGCAGCAGTTATAGGAAAAAATAGAACCATTTTCTACATATATACCTTAGAGGCTGAGATTTCTCGATAAAAAGAGTGTTATTAACATTCCTATAGCTGCGCCTTCTATTGCTGGAAGGATGCATAGGAAACCAGTAACAATTGTAGACTCAGGATGGGAGATAGGAAAGATGTGGACACAATGTTCACTGTTCACGCTTTTGTACTGTACTGCACATGTACATGTACCTTTTTAAATGATTAAGCAAATAGGATATACTACTTTAAAAATTCATTCAAGGAAATGCTTCTATGAATAATCTGTTTCATGGCTGTATCAAACTATGTATCTATACCTAAATTTGTAATCCATCTCTTGTTCTTATAAAGGAGCTGTTTATTATCCATGTTTGTAAATGTCCCTCAGCCTCAAATCTTCCATTTTGTCTTAACTTTTATTTTTTATTTTCTTTTAGCTTTTATTTTTACATCATTGAATTGTTTTTGTTTG